GCTGCATAGTACAACGGTGTCTGTTTCACCTTATCGTGTCTGTCGACTTGCGCGCCTTTGTTGATGCAGGCTCTGGCTAGCTGCAACGCACCTGGCTTGATGCGTGCAGCAGCAAAAAAAGGACTGTCTGATTCAAGCGTGGATCTAGCTGGTGGACGTTCATCTCCTCGAGCGTCTGCAGCGCCAATTTGAATTGTGCATCTCGCACGATGTCGAAACGATCAGTGACTTGCCAGGATTCAGCCATCTCGGCGCGTGGGAAGTTTGTGGGATTGCCTTGCGCAAAGGTCTAGGTGCCTGAGAGCCAACAGAAGCGATACCACAGAGCAGAGTGATCAATGCTAAATGCGCATCGCGCTATCCCATGAAGCTTTCATTGCCCTCTACAACACGTACTTCTGGAATTTGGCCCTACCTGTGGCAATGACTTTGGGGGACGATGTGCTTTTGGGCTGCGGCTGCCGGAGTGCGCACAGCATGCAGCGCAACTGCTGATACCAACTTGCACCCAAGAGTTGCGTGGCATTGACTGAGAGAAAAGGCTTTTCCAAGCTGCCAGGATCTGCCAGGACATCGTTGCATGACTCGATCTGCCACTGTTGATCCAGGATCAAACGCGCACATGTGGGAGCACATCGCTGTGCTCACGCGTGCACCGCAGCACTGTTTCAGCTGAGAAACCACTACTGGTTAGGTACGTAGTATTTGCAAATATTTGCACATGGTCTGGCGGTTAAGCTGGTCAAGTGGCCCAACCTAGCGCACAACAGACACATCGCAACCTGTTGGAAAATTAAGGACTCTCAGCGCAAGGGTGTGTCGCGCGCAAGTCCATGAACAGGCTGCTTGTAGCATCATCCGTCACCATGCTTCCAACTGAGCTACTGAATCAACAGAGGTCCAGCAACCCTGAAACAGCAGCCCAAGCCCTGCTGACGTTATGCATCTTTCACCTACAAGTAGTAGAGAATGACTTTAAGGGCTCCGGCTACTTCAGCAGGTTGACAATGCCTGCAGGGATCCTCACCTTCATTCCATCATCACGAGCTTTGTCCAGATGCACCTGCTGTCCAAACATGCCACGAGCCACAGAAGGTATTGCATCTGCGGATGGTCTAAGTGCAGCACCTGGCAACCCAAACGGGAGGTGTCCGTTACGTCCTCCAGCAGTTGGTTGACATTGCATTTTGGGCTGCGGAGCTCTTAGTCAGGCCGGGCTCTCAAATTACCTGATCACCTGACAATCTGAGCAGCCTACCGTTAGCCTTTTTTTGCTTGTCTATGTAATGGCTCTACCCATGTGGGCAAGCGTAGTCACCGGCCAGAAGCCTGACAGTCACAAAACACCAAACTACAAGATGAAGGTCCTGAGCCAGGTCCAGCATGTCGGCCTGCGAAGGTGAGACCATTAGGGCAGGGAAGCAGACTCGCGCCACACGAGATATGGGGCATTTAGGGCCTTAGGGGTCCAGGGTTTAAAGGGATCGGATCCGAAGCGCTTGCAGGGAAGGGATGTTGGCTTCCTGGGCTAGCAGTTGTAAGACCTACTTTGCTAGCGATGCTCGGTCAAGTCATGCTTTGGAGATTGCCGACGCCATCTGCTGAAGGACCCCAACAGGTGAGTAGCTGCGCACAAGCAGGACAGTCATGGGGATAGAACACATCATATGGGTACTGGTGGGGTTCTGCGGGGCTCATGGGTTGAGGCAGCCTGCAAACCGTACCTTTGACTGTGAACACAATAGAAGAGCTGCAGTGGGACTGTACAGGTAGCTGTGCGGAGCTGTTGCTCACTGACTCTGTACAAAGCATAACCATCTCGCACACCTTTTGGCACGAGGATGTGCAGCCAATGTGGGTGGCCCTCAGGCACCAGCAACAGCAGTTTACCTGCACATCACGGCATCCAAATTCAGGGGCAGAGACAATCGACTCTCAACAGCCTGCTTTACGTGGCTGTGAAGCGTGACTGTCAATGCCGACAACACCCTCACAGGTTCGGATAAGTCTTCTTGACCTGCTTGCTAGGCTCCACCGGCAGCTGACGCAAGAGGACGAAGAAGATTCATGCAGGCCTTTGCCAAGAACCAAAGACGCTGTGTACTGGCATCACAGAAAGGCGCCCTTGCACTGCCTGCGCAACAGCAGGCGCGCCGCCTGCCCGCCGAAGGGCCTGCGATTGCAGAGCTTCCCATCAGATTTCCAAGGCTTTTCCAGTGCTTAGCAGCTGCTTCAAGCAGTTTCCGCACCTCACCAAGCAGCTCGCTGCTTCGTCGCTGCTTTTCTGCGCAACTTCCGAGCGCCGCCAGCAGGGCCTCAGCGATTGCTCCTCATTCAAGGCAGATTTCTCACAGCAATAGGACATGGCAACGGTCCTCTTGGTGTGGCCATCGGATCCGTGAAGCAGATGCCAGCTCCAGCCCTCTCAATGGCCTATGCCAAGCTCAGCACTCTGACGGGAGCAACACCAACAACAACTCATTGCGCACCTTCCCATTGTCGGGCTGGTCCACACAAAAGGGAACGACAATCATTGGCACGCCAAACAAAGCCCCCTGTCATGTGCGCTAAGGTCAACTCACGAGACAAATGCGAGTCTTGCTTCGCCTCCTTGATACTGTTGCAGCCACCATGCGTGATGAAAACATCTGCGTGCTTCAGCGCTTCCACCTAAGTGCAACCATCTCCGTTGCTCCAAGACTGCCGCATCAAAGTTGATGCACTTGTAATTCTACTACAAACTTTCCAGCAGGCTTCCTGCTCGATGTACTCCAGCGCAACAAAATTCGAAGGCAGCTCGCCCAACATGCTTCGAGCATCTTCTCTCGGGCCAATGCTCAAGACGAATCGAATGTCCGGCCCTTGGCTGTTCGGGGTCACGGACAGCACACAAGCTGCTTATCGACATCGGTTGCACCTTACTCCCACACGTCCAAGTCTTCACTTGCAAGGCGTGGGTCGGTTGCCAAAGCTCCCAATCAGTTCGCTCCACAGTCGATTGCTGACGTCCCTTCCAGTAAATCGCCCAAGTGAAGACCTCGGCTTTGTGAAACACTTGAGACGAACCGGCGGTAGAACCCCGCAGTATTCTTGCTGGAGGCCTGCCTGAATGATGCCATTCGGAATGAAGACCCAACATTAATCTGAAAGCCCTACTGCCGATTGCGTCTACTTTGAAGCAAACATGGAAGGAAATGTTCCACCGCTGATCAAAGCTGCCACAAAGGTGCACATGCTCATCACTGTCCCAGCGCATATCCACAGTCAGGCTACCCAAAGAGACGATGACCACCTGCCCAGGCGTCCCACAGAAGAGGCAGATCGAAAATTGACAAGAAAGGCCTGGCTTGAGGATGGACATATTGAGATGTTCGGATAAGCGTCAACGGCTTCAATAGGGGTAGCTGATTACAGTCAAACGCTGAAGAAATTTGTGTGGAGAGGCAGGAACTGCTGTCATCCACGAAGCTGCCCCTTCTCAAGGGACCAAGGTCTCCCGGTCTGTGACCCCTGCTACAAAAAGCAAGTGGCTGGACCTCCTCATTTCCTGTGAAGCTCCAAGCTTGCATCACAGACTGGGTCTCCAGAGAAGTTGGGCCTTCACTCCTTGGGGCACATCCCATGGTCTCCGTGTTGCTGGCTCGACTCGCTCCTGTCACGTGGACAGACTCGACAACAAGAAAAACACTCAAGCTTGGCTTCACTTCATGCGCTGCGTCATGGACCGGATTTGGACCGTTGTTCAGTATTCCAGCTCTGTCCCTGGTAACTGATTCCTCTTCATTGCCAACTTCTTATTGTAGACCAGACCATTTGTGCAGGCGATACGTCCTTGTAAGGAGTAGAGGCACGATGCAGGGGGCCTTTCAGGTCATCGGCTGCACCAGCCCACAGAAAGGTGGAGTCGTCAATGAGGGCCTGCCTTGGACTTGGCGTCAAAGCCTTTGGATACGTCTGTTTGATGTCTTTCTAGTCCTGTCAAATATGCTCATGCACGGAAGCTAGGGACAACACCATGTATATAAGCGAACCTGGATAGAGAAGAAAGCACAGCTGAACGCAACACTTCCGAAACTCCAAGCGCAAATATCCAGTCCCCTCGGCAGAAGCATGAGGACAGACATACGCGAAATCCGGAATCTAATGAGGCGAACAACAAAACAAAAAAGGACCTAAGCTCACTTGAGGACCGGGTCTCTGATACTCGGGAACCTCGCCCTGCAGCTGCGGTACAGAGAACCTTAGCGGCTCTTAGTCTCTCATGCAGAGCTTCAGGATTCCTGCATACGAAGCAAACCTACCAGCACCGCCGGCACCTGTCTCGCCTGCATTGGCCTGTCTTTCGAACAAACTCGACAACATGTTCATATCTCAGCCCTGCTTTACCAAGGAACACGACATTGAGCTGGCGATTGTAGAAGCGGCACTGCCTGGGCAACTTCAACTGCCGTCCTTCCCACTGAGTTTGCACGTCTTTGCAAGCGTTCGGATTCATTCATCGGACACGGACTAGGTATGTCTCTTCAAAGTTGGGATACGAGATGATACGATCCAAAGTCAAAGTCCACGCGTTTTTCTCTGAAAAAAAGGTGGCACCGGCACCGTGTGTTCGCTATCCCTGCCAAGGCACAGCTGTGAACCGCAGACGTCCACCCCAAAAAAGGACTTCGCCACAGCATTAACCTCGGGTGCATGGCTTCTGCAGGGCTCTTCTGTGGAGAAAAGCTCTGAGGCAGAAATGTCACTTGCATCACTTGGACTGGTAAAACAAAGGCAGCTCTCAGTATGTTTGAGTCGACGACCTCCACCATACCCGGATGCCGCACTAACTTCTCGTCAACCGCCTGCAAGCTAGAGAGAGAGAGAGAGACGTTAAAACTGTCGCCAACTCATTTCCGAAAGTTCATGTTCAGCCTGCCGCTCGGCTTCCGGGATCTCAGAGAGGTGCATCGGCGTCCCTGCATTTGGCAACTGCAGGCACTCTGCTGGCCGTGATGGACACATCTCTCATCTCTGCACAGCAAAGCGAGAAGTCCCCGCCAGGACCCGGATATGTTGAGAAGGATGCGCAAGGCAGTCCCAGCTTGCAGGCTGCGAGGTAAGGGTGCAATAGCATCACGTTGTACAGCACCTGGGCCCCAAGTGATACGCTACTGCAAAGCTGCCATGAAATCCATCAACCTAACTTACTCCTGGTTACTAGGGGAAGAAGGGAATATGTAAGCCCTACAAAATACCCTACATACTACATTCCCTGATTCGCTACTGTAACCCCGAATATATATATATATATGTATATACACATGTATATGTCCGAGTATAATGTAGTAGTTTCCATCTTCTTTTCCATTATCCCCATACAACCTAATCATGTTCCCGTATTCCCCAGAAACACCCAGTAAGCTAAGGCCAGGGCCAGGTCGGGGCACCATTCTCCTTGACCACTCCAGGATTCTACCAGCCGCTTGCCCAGGCAAACACCTCTTCCACTTCGCAGGAAACGCGCAGATACCAGTTTGGGGCCAGGGTTTGGGGTCCATTGCAATTTGTCAAAAACATCTGTTTAATCTTAATGAGACTATAATATCCCCAAGTAAGATACCACCCCATGTATCCACGCATGTCCCCGTATCCCTAGATGTCCCTTACACAGGGCCCACCAAAGCCCATCTTCGACAAAGAAATCCAGAGCCTGCTGGCAATGCGAAGTACAACATCTGGAACTGGAGGATCCTTTGGCTCTGACAATCTCATGTCTTAGGTCAGTATGTTTACATATAACGTAAAATATCATTGATATGATTATGGTCTACTAAGTAGGGTTGAATATCACATCTGCTACATTTGTAAGTCTAGAACTTGGAGTTGTGGAAATGAGGAGCGGGCTTCATGCTCAGTCCATCGGCGGTCAGGCTTTTTAGGCCTTCACCACAGCCCTGCGCCTGAAACCAGCCAGCTTCCTCCTGTCAAGAGATTAAGCACACCATGAAGCACATGAGCTATAGCCTAAACTCTTAGTCTCCCCCTCAATGAGTCCTATCATAGCCCTGCATAACCCCCTGTAAGGAGTTTAGACTATAGCTCACATGTCTTGTTGGTGGATCTACCAGAATCTCCCCGATTCCATCACAAGCGACCTCCATCAGCGTGTCCCAGCGTAGAAGGTACTCATCGAATGTGACCGGAAAAGCGCCGGCAGCTTTCACGTCCTTGACGAAGGTGTCCTCATGCCAAGTCCAAATTCTTGTTGCCCAGTGCTAGAATATCACGACCAGCAATAGTGATAACAAACTGGAAACGGCTACAAGAAGAAGAGGCATCCGACAACAAAGCAAGAAAGCAGAACCACGGAGGAAAAAAAAAAAAAAACGGCATCCTTCATCAGGTAGTAGCGCACGTCGCAGCCGCGCTTGACAAGTTCGGAAATGACGGGAAGGATTGGGTTCACTGTGCCGACCTCAAAGGTCAGCATAGCAAGGACTCTGTGTCCCGCCAAAATACTTGCTAGGTGAACTACACGAGAACGCCAAGGTACAATTTCCATGTTGAAGACTGCGATGCGTGGCTTTGTCGAAGGCATTGCTCTAGCTTTGCCTTCCTTGAAGGACTTTTGTCGCGTGCGCAGGCTGGGAAAGCTCGAGCCGAAAATTGGCAACAAAGACAGAAACTGCTTGATGCGCAGGCATCACTTGTACGGCACCTTGTCCCAATTGATGGGTTCTGCCCATTTTAGGCTTTGGGCGATGGACGCCTTCGACCCTCCAAGAACATCCAGACATGTCTTGTCTGCCGGTGCTTTGCCTCGTCATCATCGGGTGCTGGCAGCTTGTCAAAGTGCTCCTAGCACTGGCACAAATTCGCCTCTTTCGCAAACATTGCTATGCGCAGCTCCTTCTCAAGGATGACATGGCAAGTGCTGCAGGCGCACTCTCCGCCGCAGGCACCCTCGATATCAATGTCGTGCTCGTGCGCCACCTTTCTAACCCAGAAATGGCCGAAGGAGCTGTAAACACTATGAGCCACGTTTTGAGCCAGGGCACCTCAAGCAGGGTTTGGCCATCCTTAGCCTGCACGGCAACGCTCCCGGCCTTGGCATCAGTATGTACTGCAGGCGACAAGAAGGCAAGAAACCTTTCTGGACTTGCTCAAATCTCACTGTGCAGCACTTGGCATTTGGCATCCTCGTCTTTGATGAAGTGCACGGTTAAGCTAAAGTATCTCGGCCTGCACTGCGCTCTATTTGGCCGCAGGCCACATCTAAGCAGACATTGCACCTTGTGTGAAGGCCCGGCGCAGCCGGGCGCGCCCAAAGCGCACCTACAGAAACAGATACACGCCGTCAGACAGAGACTTGGCAAAACATTCAATGTCAGTAGTACTACTACAAATAGTAATGATAATTGATAATGATAATAACAATACTGATAATAGTACTAATAAAAATAGTAACAATAATCACTATGATGCTTCTAATCGACCTTTTGGAAGCCCTGCCTGGGACTGTTCGACCTAGGCATGGCCTGGCCAGGCATCGCGCTGCCCGGAGCATCAGTGCCTATGCCGCTTATGCCTGCAAGGGGGAGTTGGGAAGATTGAGGGCCTAGTGGGACAGGATGAAAAGTTTCTGGCATCGTCTGTCTGGGAGGGAATGTCTCTAGCATATGCAACACAGCTGAGTGACATCGAAAAAAAATCTACATTGCAGACCCATGCAGGCACCCTGAGCGCAGCCTGCTCGCCACTGAGGCGTGCCGCCCTTTGGCGCCTCAACGCCCTGAAAATCTGACTTTGAGCCATTCAACATATTGAATCAGTCACGACTTGTCGCACATGCAGTGTGACCTTCCATGCCTGCATGGCAGACAAACAGTCGCACATGCTTTTTGCCGGCTGTCCAAGTCGGCAGCAGGACGCTTCCTGTGGAAGGTCCCGCACGCAGGCATCTCTGGCGATGGGGCCCCTGCCATCTCACCTACCACGATCCAACCATCTCCCTACATTGCAAGCAGGCGTGTGGAAGGGGCGGGCATCACCAAATAGGCGGGGTTCGGCAGACTTGGCCGACTCCTCCGCGCTCCCATCCTTGCATTCAGTGCTCTCCATGCTCTAGTACTCCAGGCAGGGAGCAAGGAGAAAGTCCGCGAGCCAGCATCTGCGATCTGCGCCCCGAAATGCCAGAATTCGGGTTCCGCTGAAGGCTGTCTGTGCCAGCCACTGGCGGAGTGAGAGGCCGAAACCTCTCCTGAGGCCTGTTTTCGTAGCATTCATCTGAAACCCCCCAGTTAGGGGAGGCGTGCCCATGGCACAGCCACGGATGGAAAGCGGCTTAAGGATGGCCAAGGATGGCGCAAGAGTAAAAATGGTCTGACTCATGTTGGATCTACAGGAACTCTTCGAAACCAAAAAGGTTAGGTTTCATGTCGTATCCTCGCCGCTCCCTGCAACCGGAACATACTTCGTTGTCCAGATGCCGCGGCTATGTCATGAGTGGAAAAAGATGCAGGCAGCCCAACAACTGAGGGCTAGAGAATTAAGTGCATGCCCAGTGAACATCATCAACCAGTGAACATTATCAACAAAGCTTTCAAATAACAAACGGCAATCACTATCCTGGGCTTTGCCCACCAGTGCGTTGCACCGGCGGCTGATCACAATGCTACGGATGAGCAACCACGAGCTGGTCACTCAATCATGAAAAGGTGACCATAAATGCTGGATTTTGTGACGGTCCTTCCCCTTAAGCATCATAGCCTCATAGCTGTTGATTTTGGCCTTTGCCTTTTGAAGGATGTTTGTGGAGAAGCTCCATCAGAGAAAGTCTGCCTTGGAAGCCTGGCTATCAGGCTCCCCAGACCAGCTAGCTACCAAGCGACCTACCACATAGCATGATCTCAGTGCTTCGCCGGCAAAGCAGAGCACCGTTCCAAAATCCTCGACATCAGGATTGGTTTCAAGGTGAAATGGTGACAGTACTTGGTCTCCATAAGCTTGATAAGATTGCTTCTGGGAGATGGTCGTATCCACTTCTTTTGGGAACCAGGTCAGTTGATCAACGTTCACGTGTGCATTTGCCAATCACAGGAATATTCGGTTCTTGTGAAGCGAGCACAGGCATTCTGATTTGCCCACACAACCAAAGCACCAAAACAGCAAGAGGTGACCACGTCAACCACACGCGCTCTGGCCTAATGGAAGTCTCCGTGGCCTCCGTCCGCCTGCAAAAGAGGCTTCAGGTTCCACAACTTGGGCAAAGGGCAGCGACCGGGGTAAGCATCAAAGCGCTGACCTGCTGCTCTTGCTCTGACATGAACAAGCATCATCTAATCATACTGCTGCCATTGGTGCCTGTGAGGCGGACTACTCCTCCAGTTCTAACCCTTTCTTTTAGCCTTTGTTTCCGAGGCCATGGCTGCAATTCTTGGGTGAACTCTGCGGAAGGGAAGCCTCCGGGCACTCCCTTGCCTGACAGTGGGATCATGTGAATATCGCAGAATCCTGGGTTTCCTGCAAATATTGACAGTGACAAGACAACTGCGAGGATCATGACCCTCCCTCCTGATCCCTCCCACGCAGTTTTCTAACAAAACGACTACAATCACAACAGACCTTCCGGAGCATGGCTGACGGCAATGCTATCATTGATGGTAGATGAGGTCATTGTGGTTGTGAGCGGTGGTGGTAACTGTAGTCTTAGTGAAGTACTAGTAGCAACTATCGCGAGTAGCGAGTGCACACTGGACAGACGTCGTGAAAAGGGATTAGCGCAACCTCCACTTAGAGCTCAAGTGCACCTTCGAAGCATTCCCCATCAGCACTCAGCAATCAATCAACACACCCAGCACTGCAAACATAGCAACACAAGCAGACCACCCAAAAAAAAAACATCGCCAAAATGAAGAAGCTGTGGCGGGGCCAAACCGATAGAGACTGCCTCCGCCCAGAGACCAACTCAATCTGAAGCAGTTTAGCTGAGGCACATTTCACGGCCGCATCCAGCCATCTCCTCATCCTGACGAAGCATGGCAGCTTAGGGGCTTGTCTGGGCTCACAAGAATTAGAAGCGTGCTTGCACTTCGTACCCCAAAAATCCGCTCATCAGCCAGGACGTGCAAAGATCCCCTGACCAAAACTGAGGCTGTGCACCCCGGATCGTGGCCTAGGTCCACGCGGCCGGGCGAACTCAAACCACAGCCACAGCTCAATGTCTGCTTGCAAACAAGAAGCTCCAGTATGCATCACCATACCTTTTCCAATCCTTATCCCCTTTGAGGATTTTCACCTTTGCCATGGTCTCCTTGTCGAAGATCCTGGGAAGCATATGCAGATCTAGACGAGTTATTTGGGTGGCGTAGAGCAGAGTTGCTGGCTTGCTAGCAGCGGCATAGATCGGATAGAAAGCGTATGGTAAGCTGAGACACCTGGACAAGACGCAAAACTTTAGCAAGCGCCTTGGGCTACTGTAGAGCTGCCATGGGGGTCTGACACGATCTGCCCAAATCTCTCTGGGTAGTGGCTGGCGAACATCGGGAAGGCAAGAGCCTAAGCAGCAACCACTCTGGGGACTACGCTCCAGTAATTACTCATACCCCTATATACAACAGTAGTTTTCGTGTTCTTTTCCATTATCCCTGTATAACCCCAATACACTATGCAGAAGTTTCCCATATAACCCCATCATACTAAGTATCTTCTGCAAAAGCGTCTCTGCTGGGACACCGACACCAATCTTTGGATTACAGTCTGCAAAGCCAAAGCCTGCGAAGTCCACGATCCAGGCCTTGGTGGACTTCACTACGACAAGACTCTCACATGTAGCAGCTGTCCAGACAGCCCACTTCCCAAGCTGCCGAAAGTCTGCTAGGAACCAAGCAATCGAGCCAGGCAACGTGGAGTTCTTGAAGAGCCTACTACATACACCAACTCTGAACACGAGATGCCGCTGGTGAGAAACCTGCCTCTCCAGCTCACTTGCCATGTGCTCAATGCCATCCTCTGGGGTCTTGTTGGCGGCACGCCCAGTGCAAGAGTAAATCACCTAAGCAAACAGGAAGTGAAAGAATTGCTCGCAACTTTGCCACCAAGCCTTGCTCTGCAGCAACGCTTACATAAATCTTGCACACCAATTCCTTTTTGTTTGCTGGACGCGGCAGCAGAATCGTCTGGTGCGGAGAGCACTGGATGCTCTGAGTTGGTTCCCACTGCCATTCCAAGAACCACCCCCTGGCAATGTGGCTCACAGCTCGGCTGCTTCTGCCCACCTTGGGCCGCCTTGTAGCCGCCTGTGCAGGGATGCCACATACACTGCTAGGATGGGTGCGAAATATCCCGACATGCCTTTAGCCACTTTAGGATCAATATGCCTCCTCTCTTGAGACAGCCATGCTGTCAATTCTCGCAGAAGGAACTTCTCGTCTCGTCGAATCGTAGCTACGTCTCGCCAGAGGCCGAGCTTTCTTTGTAGCAGACCTTCCTCCTCCTCAAGTGAACCGCCAGGAATCTGCGAGACCTTCTCATCGATAACCTGCAAGAAAAAGTCCAGTGCCAGAGCCTCATCTTCCAGCCTCAAGTATTTGCAACGATCAAAAGACCAACCAGCGGTCACGGACCTCGCCTTCTTTGCAAAAGGCTGCAGAAGAGGCTGCAATGGAGCTGGAACAGTCAATCCACATGCGGCCTCGAGATCCGAGGGCGAAGGGGCTCGTGTTGACGCCATCCAGGCATGAAGAAAAGCAATCACTGGACCAAGCCGGTCCGCTGTGGTGGCCCTCATCTCAGAGCAACCACCCACATTGAAGTTCAGGAATGGTCCCAGCCTGGTCAACAGATCAGCTGCTGGAATGGATCCAAAGCCTGGTCGGGCGAGCGACACCTGGGGCAGGTCTTCCGGTCTGATTATCACGCGAGTGCGTGTCAGGCAGGTGAGATTGTGGATCCAAGGTACAGTAAACCCCGATGTCCAAAGCATCTCCTCATTGCTCTGCAGGCCATACACGTCCGTCACCTCTACTTCCCGGGAAGGCTCCCGCAGCCAAAGGTGCAAGGCACCACTCGAGCCGTCTGTCGTCCCGAAACGGCCCAGAGATTTGGAAAGGTGAGATTGAAGCTCTGAGAGTGACAGAAGAGGCTGTTTCGGCTCTGGGAGGTGGTGGTTCACCAGGTCAAAGAGAGGCACCAGTGCGGCCTGTGGCTTTGCAACCTGGCTTCCAGGATATGTCAAGACTCGAGAGTTGACAAGGGCCCAGACCTTCTTGTATGTCTGCAGGGAAAACTTTCTTACCATCTCTGGACAAGTCTGCTGAAGAACCTCCATGTACTCACGCACGACACCCTGCGTGGCTATAGAAAACACGCTTGATGCTGTTGTTCCCTCAATCTCTCGAAGAGCCCGCTTTGGCCAGAGCAGTGGAAACCGCTGCTGCTGCCGCCTCTCCCAATGGATTAGGAGGTCATCGAGATGAGGCCACTTCGCTGATCTGTCCTTTTGCCCATCGTACAAAGATAGAAGCAGAGTCATCATACTGAACACAGCATGCGTCCGCTCTCCATCTGGTTGATGGCTCTGACCCAATCTCTGATCAAAGAAAACCCGAATCCTGCCTGCGCAAGGAGTCACGTTGGTGGCTCTCTCTCCCAACAGCATTGCTTCTACGGGTACCGTGACAAGGATTTCACCCTCATCCACATTCGAGGTCACGAAGATGCCGCGCCCCCGTTGCTGATCTGACCTGACCTGCACCTTGTCTGAGACGAAGCCCCCAAGTCCCTGTAACCAGGCTGCAAGACCGTTCCCAGTCTCACGTGGTTGTGCGCTACAAAGCAGCAGATGCACAGCGAAACTTAGCAGCAAGAGAGCCATCTTCCTCATCGCGCTCCCTTGTCTGAGGGAGGCATGGGAGGCTCAAGGCCATGTGCGGACTTCGGCCCAAAATCAATGACTGGGACTGCCCTGAACCTGTCTGAGGCACGGTAGCAGCATGCAGGTCTGAAAGTGAACCAGTTAGTGTGCTTTCAAACAAGTGCCAACACAAACCAATCTATAGTCGAGTGGCGTGACGGCCAAGAACATCCTTGCCAACACATAAGAAGCAGTGGGACCTGCGCATCAAAGAGAACAAACAACTGCCGGCGCAGGCCAAGACAGCACAGAAGCTTGGAAGAGATCAACCCTGGGTAAGTCAAATATTGCGACGACATACATGTTCAGCGAGATACGGAACCTCATAACTCATATCTCAGCTACCTAGTGCTGTCAAGGCGCAGAGGATCCCTCATGCAGGCCCGGCAGCAAGGCAGCCGAGAGTTCTGGCAGGGCCGCATACTTCGTGAATGATACGCAGCTTTCCCAAGCACATGACAAGAAGCCAGGCAACATCTCCCACAAATCTCCCACATCTCCATAGATGAACACAGATCCCAAGCTCATAGCCTGTGGAAAGAGCGCTGGATGGAAGGTCTTTTTCCTCCACTCCATGGTGTCTTTCATAGCCTTGAACGCCTGCAATGTTCAGGGCCATTTCTCTCTGGTCACCCGAATGATGTGACTCCTTGGGCTCTGTCTCTCTCACGCTACACCACAGGCCTTGTTGACGTCACCATCTTGCATGCACAAGTAACCTTGGACCATCACATGTCTCAAACCTGCGTTCCATCATGCAGCTTGCTGTTGCAACCGAGTTGCGCATCAGCGTGGAGGTGGCATAAAATCCGAGCTCTCGTTCTTCAGCCGGGCTCTCAGGAACTCGACCCTGGAGGATCTCCACCTTGCCAGCATTGTCCAAATGAGCTCAGCTGTCGAGGTACTAGCAAATCAGCAGGGCTACAAACACTTGCAAGCCGCAGGGCCTGAACTCGTTCTCGTAAAGCCTCTAGGTTCGCCTTGGCCTCAAGGAGCAGCCATGAATTGGAAGTTGGTGTGCAAGGCATCTTCACCAACGGCCTTCTGCATGCGTGCAATCAGGCCCAAGACCACCTCGACATGGCCAGGAGCAGGTAGGAGTGCAACATTGCAAGATACAGAAGTGGCATGGCCAGCCAAGTCTTGTCCCGCTCTTCTAGTCTCTCTTATCCCTCGCGTTCCTTGAGGCTGACTGGAAGTATGCTTAACAGCGCAAACAGATTTGTGTAAGCGCATGATGTGGATGGAACGCACTGCCTGTGAAGCTGAGCGCAAATGGGCGTAGCGTAGCTTGTTCATGACGACCCCGGACTCTGGCAGAATTCTCACATGGTGGCTTGACAAGATCAAAGCCCTTCATATGAACATCCCCCCAATACGCAGCGCACGGAGTAAAAGCTGTCATTGGTCTGGTCATCCTTGCAATGCTCATGGCTCAGGGCTGCACAACCTGATCTTCGTCTAGCGGAGCCTTGCAGGAGCTGCAGAATGTAATTGGCCAACATGCGCTGCACAAATACATGGCACGAAGCCATACAGCCACGCACTGCGAACAAAGTTTCGAAGTTGAGCGATCTTACCGTGCCAAGAAAACTACCAGGCTCTGCATCGCTTGACTCGCCTTGTCTGGCAACTCAGGGAGCTGATAAGCCTTCAGGAGAGCGGCATGGCGGCAGGGCCCAGTGGAAGGATTTTCTGATTTCTGTCTCCGCACTGAAGTACACGTGGCTGCAAAGTTATCCGTGGGCACTTATTGGCTCTCCCTGTTCCTGGCCTCAAGCTCGAAGGCCGACGCTGAAGCACCTGCTGAGAGGGCCACTTGCCAAATAACGTCATCAGGATACTTGAGGACCAGCATATTGACCAAGATGGTCAGACCGGATGAAAACTCTCTTCTGAACTTGTTCAAGAATACCTAGTTCTTAAGCCATCCTGCCTTGCCTCTAGTGGTTGCACTGCAACGATGAAGGAAAAAGTCTTTTCCTTATTCCCACTAACCCACTGTGGATTTGCAGCTGCATGCTATGCTTGCCGTCCGCGCTACCAGGTCAAACGGAAAGAAATGGAAGATGGATGGGAAACGCGTCGAACTATAGACATTGACTGGTTGAACAAGCTGCAGGCCCGGAATCTGACAAAGGATAAAACCTTAAGCATACACTTTGACGTTCAAGCTGCTGCAAGGCACCTGCAGCTAGAGAGGATGCGGGTTTCGAGAGGCAAAAGTCCTCACAGCGCTTCTGCAAGCAACGCCAATCATAGTAATCATGATTTTACTGCTGCGATTCAAAATGTTGTTCACTTCTGTCCTCGACATCCGGAGAGGTTGGTGAAGCCCCCCAGCTGGATGGCGAGGGATCCCCAAAGCTAAGCCCGCCTTAGCCAACCGTTCAAGAAAAAAAACAAAAATGCAAACTTCTGCCGCATGGTCTGACAGCCATAACGTTGCAACCACGTTGCAGGTCGTGGTCGGAGTCTTGCCAGTAGCATCTTCAAGTGCTTTTGAAGATGGCAAAGTCTTTACCTCCTGGTGACAGGGTAAAGGTAATGTCACCGCTTCTGCCTGCTGCTTGGATTCATGCTTCGTGCAGGTGCCTCCTCTGCCTCTGCAAACGCAGAGCTGTCCACGACAAGGACTGCATCTGAGCTGGAACTGTTTCCCGGAGTGCCACAACCTCAGAGTCTCTCACATTGTCCGATGACTGTCAAGGAGTCTTGGCACAAAAAATGCAGACCAAAACACTGCATGGTCCCAGTATGCTGCTAGTTGGCCAATACCAACTTGTTACGTAAACCACAACATGCAAGAGACGGCATGACAGCACACATCTTGTCCTGATCGCCACAGAGTCTGAGTTGCGAGGCAGCCTTTACCGCTCAGGCCAAAGAACTCGGCAACGACCTCGCTTTGGACGCCAGTAGTCAAGTGGTATCCGGATTGCAAATGATGGCCACATACCCTGGCTGCTTCCAAGTTGCCCCAAACATGGCAGAACTCTTGCCAGGGGCGCTTTGCTACACTGCTCAAACAACTTGCTTTGGTTTTTGCCTTTGAGCTTTCTGGAGGCCTTGTTTCGTGCCAAACAGTCTGCCCACCTGTTGCACATGATCCTACATTTGCTTTGTGATTTGCTTCTTCTCTACATTCAGATATACCTCGAGGTAAATGACAGGCGTAAGCTTCCATGTCAAGCATCTATGCATTCCAACGCCCACAAGCAACACGTGTAGAAGATGGATTCAGAGTTGACGCCTCCTCTCGCACATGCCTAATAGGCTTGATGGTAGAGCCCCTGCATCACGTGGCCGCCAACGTCTTTTTCTCGCGCTTGGCTTTCTGAGCAAGACAGCTCATCAATGAGGGCCTGAGCCAGAAGGGAATCATGGCTCTCCTGCTCTCCCTTTCCATCTGCCATGACCCGGCCTCAAGCACCACCTCATAGCGCCCAGCGTCATGATCGTTCATTAACCCTTCTGCCAGAAGCGCCTCCCGACCAAAGTCTTCGGAAGGCACCGCAGGCATCACACCTAAGATGCAGTCCAACCTCTTGCTGATGCGGTCCCCGGGAATCCAAAATGCAGCAATTCGGCCTATTCTGCGTCATTACAAAGCATCATCAGCTTCGAGTTCACCACCCGGCACTTAGGAATATTTTAATACATTACAGTACATTATAGTAGATTACGCCTTCAGTAACTACGCAAAAAAACGTGCCCAGCCACGAACCCATCGCCGCCTCGCAGCCCTCACTGCTGAAGCCAGGTCTCTGAGCCACATATCGCGCTCAGCTGCCTGGGGATAGTGAACCCTAAACCCTTTACCACGCATAATTTTTAACATCCATGGAACCTCCTTACCCAGACAGGAATCCACACAACAACAATTGAACCTTCTTCATCGAAAGGTATGGAACAACTGCTGACGTAGCATGTCAATGAAGAGGTGAGACAGGTACATGCTGACTTCCTGAGGCACAAGCAATTGAAATTACATATTGCCTTGCAGCGAAGGTGCAGTTTCTGTACAAAGGAAAACCTCTCCCGCCACGCAGGTTCGGATAGCCGGCAGGGTAGGGCTGTGCCCACCGTCTGGCCGCTCAATGCCTTTCTGCTTACCCCTTCTCTCCTTTCTGAAAGCATAAGAAAACCCTTGCTGGCCTGACCAGCTGCTCGCAGTCTGCACATGAAAAGCCCATGGTGTCGCAAAGTCGCGAGAGGTCTTGGTAGTGGAGCAGGTCGTGGTTCCTGCACTCTGATTAAATCACTCTCAAGGCTCTGAAACTGTGTTCTGGAACACACATGCTCTGTGATGTCCCGAGCAGACTTGATCGGCACGGAATGACATAGTTGGGCTCATGCCCGCAGGAAATGGAAGACAGCTTGGCTCTCCTGGAATGGTGCTCAAACTTGCGAAGATCTGTCTGAAACATGTTCACGGGCTCGTAGCAAGCATGCGCCCTGCAAGTCTCGCCAAGCTTCCAAGCAACATGATCAACGTGCTGTCGGCTGTGAGCGGAACAGTTGATCTTATTGGATCCTGCACGTAAGGTCTGTACTTGTCCCGGCTGCAAGCAATGCTGCGCATGTGCAAGACGTCCTTTTCAGACGCTGCGAAGCACAGCTCGCCGGCCTTTCCAAAACAACTCGCTATGTGTGAGCAAAGGAGCAAACCATCCTGTATGCAAATTCAAGATCTGCCCCTACACACACGGCCCCAGGCTCAACTGGTGTATTTCTGGCGGTCAATCTCTCGTTCCATATTCTTCTGCTCGGGGCTTAGCCCCCAATCCGGCAGGATGTGCCAAGTTCATCCAGGCAATCTCTCAGATTGTCTCCCGCTCTTCGCCTCGATCCAAGCAAAGCGGCGACGCCATTGTCGCAGATGATCTGAACGCTTCAGCAACCATCGACCGTTAGCTCTTGGACCTGCAAAGGTGCAGCCCAAACAAGATGCTAATGGGCCACAGCATGGCTCTGGTGCACCTTCAAGAGCGTCATCTTCAGGGCCAGTGAGGCCATCAGAAGCACTGTGAGTTGCATCGCTGGGCCTGGGAAGCTTGGCTTTGCAAATGCCACTCCTCGCTAAGCGCCGCTCCCATCCACGCATCTGAGCCCGCAGCGTTATGGGAGCCGTTGCAGTTCCCCCTGAGGTCCGAATCTAGGAAACGAAGACATGAAAATCTTGCTGCAGCTTATCAAGCCTGGCACCAGCATCATGTGGAAGAGCCGAGAGGTCACAGCATGCTGCGCCGGGAAAGGATTGGCAGGAGCTGGCCGCGCAGAAGCACCCTTGGACAGGGCATCTTCAAGCTCGTGTGCTACCGCCACCTCAGCTATTGCGCACCACATCAACACGGCTTATCTACAGCGAGCGAATCAAAGGGCAGACTGGGCAACCTACCTGCGACTCGGGCTCCACAAGGCCCAACTTGCGAAGGACATCCCTCTTGCCCCAGCCAACGAAGTCGTCAATGACTCTGGCCTCTTGGAACAGCTTGTAGCCATTGTGCAGCGAAGTCCGTGGGATGATGTCATAGTTGAGGGCAAAGGCCTCAGCATGTTGCCGACTCTTCTCCTCGCCTTGCAAGTTCAGAAGATTGCCTCTGAGCTGCAACGGAAACCTTCCTGGCTTTCTCAACAGCTGTTTCGACAGCTGAGGGCACGGAAGGGCGGAAGCCGAAGCTAAAAAGGCGGGGAAAGCTCGAACGCTGCGCAAGCCTTGGGCAGGAATGGCATTCTGAAGTCCTTCTTTCTGCTTTGTTCATGTCCAAGGGGCTCATTCCCAAAGACCGGTGGAGGCGCGAAGAGAAAACAGCGCAGCTCGGTGTCTTTCGGCAACGTCCACGGGACGCGCTCCACGTTCTCATCACCTCCCAGCAAGAGGATGGCCAGGATCTCGCAAACCTCGAAATGCGACTCAACGCTACTTACCTCGCCTTTTCTAAACAAACACCTCAAAAACACTCCAAGCAACCCCTGCACCCAGAGAGTGGCCGCACAAGACCAGCCGAGCCCCTCCTTCGTCGGCGTTCAGCCTGCTGAGGCCTGCCATCACAGGGGCACGCCACAGCACACGCTGCAGAGCTACTCTGCGCCTTCTTTCAGATGTGGATGCAAACGGTCCAAAAGTCTGCGAGCAGTGTGGAGGATGCCAGCATGAGCTTTACCACCTGCAGTTCATCCAAATCATCTCCAGATGGCAAAACTGCTCAAGTGACTCCAAACTGATCACAAACTGGATACCTGACAATCACAGCAGCTGCTTCGAACTTAGAACATGAACACGCGAATCTACCAGCAAAATGTGATTGCATTCGCACTCACGTCAAGAATGTCGCTCAATTTCTAACTGCGCATAGTCACCTGCGAAATCCTCCGCATCGCCAACCAAATCGGCAAGCAGATCTGACAGCGATTGCGTCCCTCGTACAGAAACGATCAGCTCTTGATGTTGGACATCTTCCGCAAGGAGAAAGCGAGGGCACAACGGGTCACTGGCTTGTGATGCGTCATCCAAATCTGAAATAATAATCGCAGTTGGGGAGCACTCTGCCACAGCTGCTGCCATCGCAACACGCTCCTCCTCACCCATACCAAGCTGCAGTGGCTCGGATACAGGAGCTGCCATTTTGCTTGTCCCGTCAGCATTGATTTTTTCCGTCCCATCGCGTTTACCGCGTCCACCATATGCGGCAAGAGCCCAACGGCAATAGCGAAGAGCCTCAACTGCCTCCGAATAGTTGAGCGAATTGTGGTTGGAAGTCTGAACTTCAGACACGTCCAATTCCAAAGCATCAACGATCCGTTGTGCAGCCAAATGCCTGTGATAAGCTCGTAACAATGCTAAATTCAGAGCTACGTGCCGACGCCATGGTGGAGATCCATCCAAACATCCGTCTACAGCAACTTGCCAGAATCGAGAGTTGCAAGAAACAACTCGCTCAAACACTTCTTGCTGCTCTTTAGTGAGGGCCAAATCCTTCAACGTTTGATGCAAAAGCTCTGCAGCATCTGATAACGGATCCAGCCGAACAGCTGAAGGACCAGCCACGGAGCGGCGAAAGAGGCGAAATGTAGCCCGAGCCGGCCCTGCTGCTCGAGATCCTCCAGCAAGTCTTCGAAGTGTCCCAAGAAGCCAATTTCGGAACCCTTTCTCTGCACTGCTTCTCTCACTAGTCTGAATTCCAGTTGCACTGGACCGCAAATCCATCCGTATGTGAAATGCTTCTGTACTTCTAAAATACACGCAAAGAATCTTTAAACTACTTGAACCGGTGAAAACCTTGATCAAAACGGAACTGGCCTGTGCCAATGACCCGCTTACGTACATGCAAATTCAATGTCAGCATGCAAGTCGAAATTTGATAATTTCATCTATGCCAGCTCGAACCCAAGGCTTGCAACGCTTCCATGACTTGTCGCCTCCCGCGTTGTACTCCGACCAATATTGCATTACAAACATTGAATAACCCGGTACCAATGGTTCATGCGAGCAAAAATTTAGAGAGTGGACCGCTCTTGTGGCCCCAGTTTTGCGTGGCTTTTAGCCATGTTCAACTGATTTTCCAACCATTATGAATGTTCTCATAGAGAATTGTCATATATTACTGCGAATCTAGCTGTTAGCAGCTATGAGGATCCCCACATCTTTTCCATCATAATACAGTTGGATTCCAATGGAATCCTGTACATCATGAGAACCCAACGGAAACGCCATAGATCATAGTGTGTCTACCTGGCCCGTACTTTATAAAATAAAATGAACAAAGTATTAAATATCCCTGAGGTACTTAACTGGATGTATATAACCTTGTTTGTAATTTTTCCGCAACTTTAACGATTCATGTAAAGCTTCCTTCATGAATTAAATGAAAAAGTCCGAGCAGTTCAAATGAACATTATATTGCCTTCTCAATACATTCACCTGTGTTTCATACAAAAATCTGCTAGCCATGTTACGATCTGTGAGATTCTACCATGGATTGCAGTTGTTACTAAGTATCCTCTTTTCAAAACAGTATGGTACACCGTGGCGGCGTGTATTTGTGCTGTTCAGATTTCGGCAGAAAACCTGACATATTTTGCTTTGTGTAAGACTAATTTAAACATAATCTAGGAAGATCTTTCTAGAGCTTTGGGAAACGGTGGGGAAGGTCTAGGATGGCCTTGGGAAAGCTGTGAAATCAACCAAAATCTGGACCAAGGGCAAGGGGTGAGGCACCGAAAAAAAAATTGTGTTGTTGTTTTTTTGTTTTTTTTCTCGGTGCCGCTCCCCCCCAAGGCTTGGTCTGATAACTCTCATGGCTTACCGAAAGCTATCCTACTGCTTCCCCAGAATCCCAAAATCTAAGAAATTCTGGAAAGATCTCCCTAGATGGCCTCCAGCCTTCCCTTTGATCCTCACCGAGGCTCTTTTCGGGGTTTCTTTGTTTCTTCGCCATGTATTTGTTATTCTCAACAAGAAATAACATCGATATGCGTAATTGTCGCAATGAGTAATACCATTCGGCGGCTTCCTAGTACATTACTCTTTTCATTGACTGCCTCCCTTCCCGAAATCAAATTTGTTACTTCAAAAATTCTAAATAGTATAGGTGAACAGCAAAGCCAGGCCACTACAAAATTTCCTTCATTTGAAAGAATGGCTAATTAACAAGGATGGTACCAGAATTCGAACCAGATACATTATGAAACATAACACGTAGCAGCCCGGCAGCATGGCACAATCATTACTTCAACGTCGTTCATAAGCGAGGAACATAACATATGCAGCCGCTTGTATGCCACGTGTAAAAGGTCGACTGTAGGAGTAGATAGTTATTATCCACCACAGCGAAACCTTCAAGGTTGATCGTTTACACTCTTCTCAATGGCGTCTCACAAGCTCACTTCAACCTGTATGCTTGCGAGTGTATACTCAATGCATAGCGCTAAGGATAACTGCCCCCCTAGCTTCGAGGTAAGGCTTGAGCCAAATACACATTTCACAAGCAATACAAGAATGCCACACGTACAAGCTTACTTGTGGGTTGGACACGTTCATAGAATTAACACCCCCTCCACGTCGATGAGCAATTTTATTGTGTGAGACGCATGCAGAAGCTCCAGCCTCTTATGCAATACACACACAAGAAGGTAGCAATTACGTAAGAGCAGTGAGACGTTTCGCCGGATAACACCCTGGATACACTTAGGCGGCACTGGGACAGATGCAGGTGCAGAAGTTAGTCTCCAACACACCAAAATGGCAATGGGTACATAGCATTGTGACTCCATAGTTGCAGAATCAATCCATCACATCAAATGTAGAGAGTTTCGAAGGTAGAATCATCGCGATTGCCAGACTGGACTTGATCCTTGAGTGTTTGCAATCCCGCTCAAAATAATGTGGTCATTGCCTTCTTCTGCGATTCCTCCACATGCTCGCGGTTCTGGTTGGTCAGTTGATGGCCATTGATTGTAGTTACACGAACCTTCACGCACAGAGCCTGGTACTCTTTGTCGAATTGCGCGCCTGTATGCTGGCAAATGAATAGAGCCTTGGAGTTCAGGCGATCGCGCTTCTGTTGTGCTTCCTTCAATGCAGATGCGATACACACCATCCTTGTCAACCTGGAGGCATATTCTTAAAAGCGACATATCGAAACTTCTTGATCTCCAATGCACTGGAGTAGAACAATCGAAGGCAATCACTTTGTAGCAATGCTCCAAATTGTCGCAGAGCAAGAGAGATGAATCTTTCTTCTTGTACGTCGACATTCTTCCTGATAGACGACCCTTCCATCGTATTTTTCTTTCGTAGCTGCGGGGCAGCCTGCGATGAAGATCGAGCAGAAGAATTGTCTTCTTGTGAATGGCGTTCTCCTCTTGTCCATTCCGTTCTTCATCTCTGAAAAAACTGAGCGATAGGAAGCCGTCAAAAACGTCTTTGCGCTGGAATATCAACTACCATAGTCTCATCAAACACTTTGAAGATCTCTTCCGTGTTCAGGCACAATGCTGGAGGCTCAGTGCTTGATTGAAGAGAGACAGCACTGTCTTGCTACTTTAGCAGTCGCGTCCTGAAGGCGTCAGACACAAAAGCATGCGCGCGTACAACCTCTTACCATTCCTTCTTTCCACTCTGAAGAATTGGTCTGAGCCAAAATTTTCTTACGTAAAAACATGACAAAATTTTGTCCTGAAATTAAGAAACCGTACTCGAGAGCACATAACCCTTATTTCGCTCGAAATATCTTGGTTATTCAATCTTTTTTTTTGTAAAATTGATTCTCAAAATTTCCACCAGATTCCATCCAATTCTCAGTTGATTCACACGCTTCTTTTCCCAAGAGGGCGGAACTTGCGACTGCTGGTCTTAGGTCCATGCCTTGAGACTGAATTGCGGAAATGTTTCTCCCTGCTCGGTCCAAGAGTTCTGTCCCCCTTCTTTGGAGAGCGCACCTCGGCTGAACTGATGCATGAGAGAGCGACTTGACACATACAGCCCAGACAAGGGCGTGCATTTTATACGTATTACACGAGCAACTTCGCAATTAACATACCAGCGTCATTTTTTTAAAAAAGAACACTGGCATCTTGTTTGCTCACTGCTAGCCAATAGCGGTCGTTTTCGGCGCCGGTGGGAGCACCAGCTTCTATCTGCCGCGGATAAAGTCTCCAGCCTTGTTTGGATGATTTGAGGCGCTGTTAACGTGCCTAACCACGGCAGATAGCTCTACCAGCTTCAAAACCGACACTGGTGGAAGGACTGGAGATCTTAAGAGGAGAAGAGTTAAAACGACGCATTCGAATCAAAGATTCAGGTGCATGACTGCAAAGTGATAGCAGCCGCAATGTTCTAATGCGTAGGTTAAATCAGATATTGGGCAAGACCGTTGACCTGAAAAGCGCTTATCGCCAGCTTTCTCTGAAAGGGGCATTTGAATACGGCGACATAGCAGTGAAGGACGCCGCCATTAGTAAGGTGAAGTTCTTTTTTTCTTCTGTGCTTGCCTTTTGGAGTGGCCTCGAACGTGTTGTTCTGGCCACCACTTACGGCGTTTTACGACGACTTTACGGTCTGTCTGACCAGGAACTGGCGACCTCCGCCGAGAAAACCATGCTTTTCTGCTTGACATCCTGGGATTGGAGTGTGGCAATACTGGAGATAAGGGGCAGGAAATGCGCAGCACTTTTACAGCACTGG